ATATTCTAACTAACTTTTAGTCCAAATTAACAAAACACTAGCGTGTCTTGTTTTTTATATCACATATCTGATAAATATATTAAAACATCCTAACTCCTTTTCTAATTCTCATATGATTAATCTTTCTTTCTGTTCTTCTAATGGGCATTTGGGTTTGAGGTAGAGGTGGCAGTAGTTGGTGTGAATTTTGGGTTTGAGGTAGGGGTGGGTGAGAGTTGAGAGGAAGAAGACGATTGTGTGTTTTATTATTATTTCTTATTTAATTATTTAATGTGATAAATAAAAAGTTACTTTTTTACCCTTTTTTAAAATATTACGAGTTTGTTTGAGAGAGATTTTTGGAGGAAGAATTGATTTTGAATAGTGATATGATGGGAAATGTGTTGTTGAAAAAGAAGAAAAAATTATTGATGTGATGGAAAATATTATTTTATTGAAGAATGTGTGGTTGAAAATGAGAATTGATTTACTGTAGAAAAATCTAAATCCCTCCCAAACAGGGCCTAAAAATGTAGTCAAAATTAATTTTTTGATCAACTAACAGACTTATGGATGTAAACTGTCCTAAAGGGTTTCACTTGCAACATTTAGAAATGTTATGAGTGACGGCTGCAACAAATCAAAAGTTTGGAAAAAATTTGCAGATGTTTCAAAGGTTTGAGATTTTTTCTGTCATTATCCCTTTAGCTTTTGATAAGAGCTAATTTTTTCCACTTAATCCTCCGTATTTGTGTTTTTGGTTTAAGGTGTAGGACAATTGTTTCAAGTACTTGGATATCGGATTTACTGTTTGAATACAATATACTTAAACACTTTATTTACACATGTGGTATTTGTATTTCATAACAGATTTTAACAACTGCTAACGTAAATAAAAATTGCAAAACTATGAAATTGCAAAAAACGAGCAATATAGATAATTAAAACTAAATAAAAGCAAACAACTTTTAACCCGAGGCCTGTGTAATACACAGTTTCCTTAAAACAGATTCGCCCCCTCACCGTACGTGTTTGAGGTATGATATGAGCGTCTGCTTCTCAAGATATAATGGCAAAGCAGCACAATCCGAGCACTACAGATTATACTCTTGCGAACTAGATGAGTGCCCGTACAATATCACCAAAACAGACAGAAACAGAAAATAAAACTGAAGACAGACCCAAACTGTATGCAGATGAATTTGCGATGATTTTTCGTGTACTGAACAATGGAAAAAAACGAGATATATAAAAGTTTTGAAAACCAAAAGTCTATTGAAAAAATTAAAAATTATAACAAAACGTGGACACTCCTAAGGGGCTAATTTTGCTCCTTTCGGTTCGATATTTGTATACGCAGGTTGCGCTCGCACACAAGTTCAAGGTCCGAAACCTATTTCGATCCATTATTTGCACCCCCCTGCGTGCGCACGTGGAGAGAGCCTCTATGTTACACATGATTACACCATTCTAAAGTGCAATCCTTTATAAAATAGTTTTAGATTTCATCAACTTCCTATGTGGGACAAACCTTATTTTTAGTTTTCTCACCAACATAAACTTCTTTCACATGGCTCACTTTGAGCTTCAATTTCTCATTCACCCGAGCATCATTTTTGACAAATAAATATATGATTTCGATATACTCATGGAAGAGAACACAAATTAACTTTCATCTTTCAAAATAGCCAAATGGGCCCCGATCAAAATTCTATCCAAAGTCAGCTATATGCTCAACTTTTCCAACATAAGGTTCATGGATAAGTGTTGTTGAAAGTCGAAGTTTAATTTTGTGTAAGAAGAATTGAGTCGAAAAATCAAAATGCTCAAAAGATCGTCAATTAGTGCTTTATGTTGTACTTATATCTTTTATTAATTAGAACATTTTATCCTCGATGATTGTGTTCAAATGACAAATATTTTGTTAGCACTATGTAAAATGACGATCAAATATTTTATTGCACTCTTGTATTTCTTATTATTTAAAAAATATGCAAGACAAATAATTCTTTAACACTGTTCTAAAATACTTTTCGCCCAAATTCCTTTTATAGCCCATATATGATAAATACATATAACTATACGTGCTTTTATGAATTTAAGCTTTTGTAATGAGGCATGATTACTGTCTGTATACTCACTAAATAGATTTTTTTTTGCATGTATGTATATACAACATAGTCATCATATTTTTTCTGCACAAAAATTTTTCCAACAAAGAAATACTTATAAATATGTTGTGCGCGTACCAGATGCGTGCAGAAAAAATTTAAAACATGTGCATGCGAGACACGTGTAATGACAAACAATATGGTCAGGATCTAATTTAAATTATTTGTTCAATACCTACTGTCGATGATTTGTATAATTTTCATTCGGTCCGTACTTGTATAATTGATCGGACAACTAATAAATTGTATCACGACTTTGACTTATTATCATATTTCATTGAATTCTTATTTCAACTCTTGATTAATCAACACATTTTTTTATCTGAAGATGATTTATGCGTTAAGAGAAAGTAAAAGATTTATTTGGTTATCGTATTTTTAAATAAAAAAATAATTAATAGAAAATTGCAACTAAATAGTGATCAAAAAATCGTTATTAAGGACAATATTCGTTAATTAGAGAAAGGTTAAGGTGGCGGTGAAAAAAGTTAATAACGTAAATGAAATAATATAAAGATTAAGGACCTATAATGTAATTATGGTGTGGTGCATTTATGTAAAAAAATATTTTCGGATTTATAGTGCTTGTGTTTTGTTTTGTTCTCTTGCATTTCTCACTGTGACTGAGGGTGTGGAGAGTGAAAATATTGGAAGCTTAATCAAAAAATTCTACAGAACTTCTATTACAGATTCAAAGGCGTTGTTTATGTAAGTATCTTTCTGTGTCTTTTAGATTGTGGTAAAAGCTTATACTTCTTCTTCTTTTTTTCCTTCAACCTTTGTCATTTGTGTTTTTTTATTAATATTCGTGGATCGTTGTTGAAACTTGAAGATTAACTTTGGGTAAAAAGATTCGAGTGGAAAAATTGAAATGCATGTCGTTTTTCAACCCTCTTTTTGGGCATTTGTTCTTCTGTGTGGTTTTCTGGAAAGAAACATCGGAAGAATCATGACGTTTTTCATCACATTTTGTGTATTGTACGGAAGCATTAAAAAGAAAAGTTTGAAGTTATGGGGGCATTTGTTAAACAATTTTGGATGTGGATTGTTTTCTTTAAAATTGTGGTATTGGATTTTAGACCGCCAGTGCACTCAAACGCCACACGCACACCAGAGATGTGAAAAATTCAATTTTTTTAGAAATGTATATTAGGGCATGCACATTCATTAAGCCCATTTTCATGTGGATGGTTCTTGCAAAGTTTGTGCTTTGCGTTTTAATTGTTAGTGCTTCAGTTAAATGCTGAAAAAAATAAAGCCTAAAATCCTAAAAAAATTGACTTGGAAGGAAAAAATTCACAGAACTCTTTTTTCTTCCTTCTATAAGCAAATGCCTTTGGAATAAATTATGTGCGATAAGAGTTGTTTCTTCGTAGAACTCTTTGTAGAGCAATTTAAATGAATAGGTGTTGTAAAAGAGTTATGGTGGAGTTACTATCAAATTGTTTTAGTGGCTCATAAGAAACAAAAAAAAAAAACTGAAGAGTTTTTCACCGATCAATTGATATTTGTTTTATTTTGTTTAGCAGTCTCCAGATCTGAAGGATGCTTTGGATGCCATGGAAGAGGGTGGACCTAGCAGCCTTAACGAAAAATTTTCAAATGTTACCTCCAAAATGGTTGTCGATGATGATGATGATATGTATTTTGATGATTCCGATTCCGATGATGAGGCTGAAAACTGTTTGCAAGAGTTAGGTAAAGAGTTCCTGAAAGGTTTCTGTAAAAAGATTTCAACAGCATTTATTGAGCAGTATGGCCTAATTAGTCACCAAATCAACTCATATAATGATTTCATTAAACATGGTATTCAACAAATGTTCAACTCTATTGGTGAGATTGTTGTTGAGCCCGGGTATGATCCGTCAAAAAGGGGAGATGGTGATTGGAGGTATGCATCTCTCAAGTTTGGGAAGGTCACACTTGAACAGCCAACATTTTGGACAGGCGAGAAGTTTTCAGCTGAAGGTGGTAAAGAGTTTTTGGAAATGTATCCTTGGCATGCTCGTCTGTAGAATATGACCTATTCGTCTAGGATAAAAGTTGAAACTCATCTTCAGGTTTGTAGATGTATCTGGCCCCAACTGCTTTCATTATTCTCTTCTGTTGTATTGAAGATGTGCGTTATCTGAATTCAAATACTTCATTTGTGGTATACTGCAGTTCTTTTTTGTTTTTATGGCAATTTGTTAATAATAAGTATTCAATTGTCAAGAATTCTGGTCCAAGTAACATTTCTGGGCATGAAATTTGAAGTATCTTTTTCTCAGCTTAAGTATTCACTTACAGCTTGCCTTGACATGTTGAGTGGCATGTTTGTAAGTTTATTGGATGTTACGTAATTGTCTATACAATTGAATTTACAATAATTTTCTTATATTATGCGTATGGAAGGGTAGCTCATGATCCTCTGGGGAATCAATGTTCCTCAAAAAATATGCTTCACAATTCTGCTATTTACCTTCATTTTTCTGGTTATTGACATCACTATGGAAATTAAAAACTGTTGAAACATTACAGATTTGCCTATTTGTATTCTCCTAATAGCACGTTCTCCACTTTTCCAGTTGTCATTTGCCAATTTACATACTCCAATTATGTGTTGAATGGGGCTAGAATGAATTCTCTAAAGAGTAGTTATCAGTGTTGTACCAATTGCTATCTGTTGATGGTTTCCAACAAACTTTAGTAGGTTCAGTAAGTCAATATGTATGATAAACGGCATCCTCACAGTGCGTGTATGTGCTACCTTACATTTTCTAGTTTTAACCTTTGGTTTTTAATTTGTTTGCTTCCTTCTCTGAACTTTTCAGGTTTACAGTAAAAATGTTGCAAGAAGTGACAAGTTCAAAACTGGAGTTGAACAATTTGTTGAGAATAAAGTACTAAACAATTATCATAGTGATATCATATTTGGGCAACTCCCTGTCATGGTGAAGTCAGACTTATGTTGGCTGAAAGGGGTTGAGAAAGGGGATTGTGAATTTGATCATGGAGGTTATTTTATAATCAACAGTGCTGAGAAGGTGAGAATGCTGTACTGTTTGTCCAGGAAAAAATATTTATGGTTATGATTTTAAAGGTGTCATTATCATTTAGTGACTCTCTTTTATATCTGATATTCTTTTGAATGTACAATAACATATGATTTAAAATTTGGTTCCTATGTTTGCTAATGCTATAACATATGTGCAAGCGGGTTATCCTTGAATATTCAACTGGAGAGTTTTCAAATTTTAAATTGGGATCAAGTCCAGACTATCAGGGAACTTTCATTATGAAAGAAAGAACGAATGGAATACTTTAAGGGATGGTATTAATAATATTACCAATCACGTGAGACAGTACTCTGTGATTGGTGAAAATTTTATCCTTTGTCTACTATGGATTGACTTCTTCTGGGGCACATGCTTTGTTCACTTAAATCTCTGGAGGTTTCTGCATGCCACTGTAATGTTTTATTCAATTTAAAGATAATTGATGGTTAATTCTTTGGCCAAGCTGATATATCAAGGTAATCTAACATCTGGTGGGACATTCATGATTCATCCAATAAGCATATTTTCATTTCACTCCAAGCTTATAACCAATTAGAAGGGGTTCTTCATTTTTCAGTTATACTGGGTCTTGTTGGAATATGATCATTGAAAAATTGATTAATTCCTTTCAACCTTTATTGCAGACCTTCATTGCTCAGGAGCAAACGTGCCTGAAAAGATTGTGGTTGTCCAATGATCCTCTGTGGACCATTGCATATCGACCCGTTTCAAAATGTAAAAGAGTTTATATGAAATTAGTTCCAAAAGTGGAGCAGTTCATGGGAGGAGAAAAGTTCATGACAGTGTACTTCTCGGTGATAGAAATTCCCATTTGGATTCTGTTCTTTGCCCTGGGTACTCAAAATGACCGAGAGATAGTAAATTTGATTGGTTTAGGCACTGAGGATTGTGCTATCATAAATGTACTGCTCGCATCAATACATGATGCTGACAAACAGTGCGAGGGGTTTCGCAAGGGGGACAAGGCGGTCCGTCATGTTGAGAAACTCGTAAAAAGTTGCCAATTCCCACCTAAAGAATCAATTGAAGAATGCATCAGCAACTACCTGTTCCCCAATCTTAAAAGCTTTCAGCAAAAGGCTCGTTTTCTAGCCTATATGGTGAAATGTCTCTTGGAAGTCTATACAGGCCACAGAAAAGCTGATAATAGAGATGATTTCAGGAACAAGAGGTTGGAGTTATCTGGTGAATTGCTTGAGAGAGAGCTGAGAGTTCACATTAAACATGCTGAGAGGCGCATGGTCAGGGCTATGCAAAGAAATCTTTACGGAGATCGGGATGTACAATCAATTGAACACTACATGGATGCCTCAATCATAACCAACGGTCTGTCTAGAGCGTTTTCAACTGGAGCATGGTCACATCCTTTCAAGAGGATGGAGAGGATCTCTGGCGTGGTGGCAACACTGAGGCGAACAAATCCACTGCAAACAATAGCGGATATGAGGAAAACTCGTCAGCAGGTTTCATACACAGTGAGGGTTGGAGATTCTAGATACCCGTAAGTGATTGGAAGTTAATGATTATCCAGTTTCATGATGTAATTCTGAAAATCTGACTCTATGCATACAGCCCTCTTTGCTGCAACTTTTTTCAACTGATAAGTGTTTATCCTTTCAATTTTTACCTTAAAGTCCGTCCGTAGTTCTTCCAAAAGATGAATTATTCAACTCCTATCTATAATAATTGTGGAATACTGATTTTAGAGTTCGTATTATATTTTGTTCAGGTGTAGGTATGCATCTGTTCTGGGAACAAAACTTTTGAAGGATGTAGCGTCGAATTTTCCAAATGTATATTGTTTAAATATATTTCTGATATGTAAAATGCAAACTGAAAAGAGTTATGCTGAATTATAAATTATAAGAAATTCCTTCCAATCTTCTTTAAGAGTATTTGTTTTATGAGTTTACCTATCAAGGAACTGGGCAAATTTATCTATTTGAAATGCAATGGTGTATTTGAAACTGCCACAGGCACATTTTGTAAAGAACTTCAAATGCTTATTTATCCACATATTTTGTCCTTCAAGTATCAGTTAGATGTCCTAAACCATTGCTGAATGAGTTGTCTGAAACTGCACCGAAGCAACCTATATATGTTAGATCATGACTGACGAATGCATATTGTGTTTTGGATTCTAGTGTTGTTAGTATCTAATAATTTTGGCCTTGACGATACATGCATCCTTCTCACTGGGGTAAGATTTGCTTTCTCACTACATCAGATGGAGAAAATTGTGGATTGGTTAAGAATCTGGCAAGTTTGGGTCTTGTCAGTACTTGCATAATGGAACAGGACCATATTCTCGATAAATTGTACGAGTGCGGGTTGGAAACATTGTTGGATGATACTTCAACTGCTCTCGATGAAAAGCACAAAATTTTTGTGGATGGAGATTGGGTTGGAATATGTAAAGATTCTGCATCATTTGTTGCAAAGCTTAGAGCCTTAGACACAAACGCGCAAAATGGAAGTGCCACATCAGGTTATCTTGCACCCGTTTAATATTTCTAGTAGCTCTTAAGAGGCAGTGAGATCAACATTCAAAGTAAACGGATATGCTAAAAAGTTAGTAAATTACATTATTAGCAAGAACTACAAAATATAAATATTTCATGATTTTTGTTCATTGGCGATATCAAATGCGAATGCAATATTTTTTTCAGGAATTGCTTCACTTAATTCAGTATACATGGAAGACCATTTGTATCATGCATTACTATATCATGGTATTGTTGTGAAATATTTGTTTCTTTAAAATTTTTTATGCAATTTGAAGTTAACATATGCATACTATGCCATCAGCTATTGTACAACTCGAAGTTGTTGTTGTTGTAGTCACTCCCATCTTACTATAAATTAGACATGCTACTTTGTAGTCTGAAGCTTCCAAATAAAAAAGGGTCTTGTATCTTGCTAATGTTCTTATTAGAAATGATATTGGGTCTAACTCAACCTAATAAAACCGTCTTGTTAGCGGAGGATCGCCCTCATCTTATTAAGTGGATCATGTTAATATCACCAGTCAATGTGAGATTCTAATATGCCCCCTCACGCTAAGCGTGAACCATGCCAACAACTGTGAACACATCGATATTGAGTGCACCTAACATTGTAAAACTGGGCCTGCTCTGATACTATATTAGAAAGGATATTGAGCCTAACTCAACCTAACAAAATTGTCTTGTTAGGGGAGAGCCCTCACCTTATTAAGTGGATCGTGTTAATATCACCAGTCAATGTGAAATTCTAGTACGCCAGAATTGAGGTTCTATCTTAAAAGGTCAACCTTTTTAATAGGAGTAGCTCAAACTCTTATAAATTGGTTTATGTTTTAATCTTTATTCGATGTGAGATTTTATCCTTTAACATGTCCCCTCAAGATGGTGGCTCGTTTGAGCAGACCAATCTTCAAATTCGTATGCTTACTTTTAGAGTCTTAACTGGATCGAATTGCTCGTTAGAGTTTAATAGGCTCTGATACTATGTTAAGAATTGGGGTTCCATCTTAAAAGGTCAACCTTTTTAAGAGGAGTAGCCCAAACTCTTATAAATTGGTCTATGTTTTCATCTTTATTTGATGATTTTATCCCTTAACAATTCTAAACTTTATTAGCATTCATTGGGGTTCTATGTTTTTTAGATGTGACTGTATTCTTTGTTCTACTAACTTGTGATGGTATTCCCTTAAAAACCAATCTGTATGTGTGTGTGTGAGCACATACTTGCGTACAATCTAATGCATGTACCCATTTTGATATAGATGTGTTATTTGTTATTGCATTACGTTCTAGTGGTGGTCTGAAACTATATTTCTTGATTTCATTGTAGATTGAGATCAAAAGGGACCAGCATAATGGAGAAGTGCGTATCTTTACTAATGCTGGAAGGATACTCCGTCCTCTTCTAGTTGTCCGGATTCTGAAGAAGATTAGAGATATAAAGGGAGAATTTTCATTTCAATCACTTTTAGATAATGGAATCATCGAGCTCATTGGACCTGAGGAGGAAGAAGATTGTCAAACTGCATGGGGAATTACCTACCTTTTTACAGCGAAAGAAGAGAATCCACCTATGAGATATACGCACTGTGAACTTGATAGTTCTTTCTTAGCAGGGATAAGCTGTGGAATTATCCCTTTTGTAAATCATGACCATGCGAGAAGGATTCTGTATCAGGTGGAGAAGCATTCTCAACAAGCAATTGGATTCTCCACGACAAATCCAAATATAAGAGTCGATACTAACATTCATCAATTATATTACCCACATAAACCACTTGTCCGAACAATGCTTTCTGACTGTCTTGGAAAGCCAAGTTGTGCCCGTCACCACAAGGGGATTCTGCCTCACCCCGAATATTTCAATGGACAGTGTGCTATAGTTGCTGTCTATGTTCATCTTGGGTACAATCAAGAGGATTCGATAGTTATGAATCGTGCGTCGATGGAACGTGGGATGTTTCGTTCGGAACACATCAGAAGTTACAAAGCTGAAGTGCTTAACAAGGAAGCATTGGGTACGAAGGTCAAGGCTGAGGACTCTATAAATTTTGGAAAGATTCAAAGTAAAATTGGGCGAGTTGACAGCCTTGACGATGATGGGTTTCCGTTCATTGGTGCAAACCTTCAAACTAGTGATATTATTATTGGAAAACACTCAGAATCAGGGGTTGACCACAGCATCAAGCTGAAGCACACTGAAAGAGGCATGGTTCAGAAAGTGGTGCTTTCTGCTAATGATGATGGGAAGAACTTTGCTGCTGTATCTCTGAGACAGGTTTTAGTTTAGTATGTATAAATGCTTTTTAGGAGTGTTAATATTTCACCTCACAGTCCTTTGCTTTTAAGCTGTCCCTTTATTTCCGTAGCAGAATTTTCAACTCTACAACTGTCATTGATCATATTTTCAAATTTCGTCATGCATTTTTTTTGCCTTTCGCAAGTTTCATGAAAGTGCAACCTTACAATTAATTCAGTGTGAACCACAAAATAGATAGATCTTTTAGTGTATTAGCATCAATAAAAGGGAAATGTTAAATTAGAAAGAACTTGTGGATTCTTTACTCGACTTCAGGAGTATAGAGACCAGGTTATAGACTATTGCTCAACTCTCCTTGAGGCTTGAAGTCGAAAATGTCTTTCCAGAATTTCCTGTATCAGTACTCTTAAAACCAAGAAAAGTGGAAACTGCAAAAGTAGTGTAGGGAGAATATTTTACAACAGAATACTGCAGTTGTCCACCTAGAAGCTACCTCTTATGCCTTCCTTCTCTTTTTTTCCCTCCTTTCTCGCCCTACCCCTCCCTCTATCTCCCCCTCTTGCAAAACCTCTGCGACTAGAAAAATTCATGACTTAATCTGAGCTGTTTTGTGCTACTTCTCGTGCTCTCGATTTCATCTCAGATTAACAATTATATCACATTAAACAGAAGAGAGAGTAGCATTTAGCTCCTTTCAACCAAAATTTTTGAAGAAGATCACACGAGAAGTAGCACAAAACAGCTCAGATTAAGTCGTGAATTTGCATTAGATACTTGTGATATTTATGCTTGCATGTATGGCTCTGCAAGTTCGTGCTCCATGTCTTGGGGACAAATTTTCAAGCATGCATGGGCAGAAGGGTGTCCTAGGGTTCCTGGAGTCTCAAGAAAACTTTCCTTTCACCATACAAGGCATAGTTCCAGATATTGTGATAAACCCTCATGCATTTCCTTCTCGACAAACGCCTGGTCAACTTTTAGAGGCTGCTTTGGGTAAAGGGATCGCCCTTGGAGGTGCACTAAAATATGCCACCCCATTTTCCACTCCATCGATGGAGGCTGTAACAGATCAGCTTCATAGGTATGAGCTCAAAAAAGAGTAACTTTAAGTTCGCTACACTTATATTTTGTAAAGTCAGCATAGAATTAATCAGGGTGCGTCTGACCGGCAGGCTTGGATTTTCAAGATGGGGAAACGAGAGAGTTTATGATGGTCATACTGGTGAATTGGTTCGGTCCCTTATTTTTATGGGCCCCACGTTCTACCAACGCCTTACGCATATGGCTGAAGACAAAGTCAAATTCAAGAACACAGGGCTAGTCCACCCTCTTACTCGTCAGCCGTGGCAGACCGAAAGCGTTTTGGGGGAATCAAGTTTGGTGAAATGGAACGTGACTGTCTGATAGCTCATGGTGCAGCAGCTAACCTGCACGAACGCCTCTTCACCCTAAGTGATTCCTCCCAGATGCACATTTGTCGAAAATGCAAAAACATGGCAAATGTAATCCAAAGGTCAGTACTTGGTGGACGGAAAATCCGAGGCCCTTATTGTAGGTTCTGTGAATCGGCAGAACATGTTGTCAAGGCAAATGTGCCATATGGGGCAAAGTTACTCTGTCAGGAGCTGTTTAGCATGGGGATCTCTCTGAAGTTTGACACTGACGTGTGCTGAGATCGCTGAGTTCCCATGTGATTTCTATCTATGGACTATGGTGGTGTTTTTACGACACCACTGGAGTTGTTGCTGTAAAATTGTTTATGCTTTTTTTTGGATGGAAGTGGTTGGTTTGATTCGAGTTTTCTACCTATTGTCAGGCCTAGTCTTTTCAAAAGATTTGATAAAATCTCAAACATAAACTAAACCGTTCTATAAACTAAAAAATAAAAATTGTGGAAACCATGCTGTCACTTAGATGGTCTCCATGAAACAAGGAATCATGGCTAGTCGAGGGCTTTAGTGGTGGTAATTAGGGTATTCATCGGTAGAATTAACCCTTGTTTGATGGCCATTATCTTAGAAGACAATGTTTTGAAAAGTAATTTTAGGAGAACGTGTCGTTAAAAAGTGAGAAAAGTTTTATTTCGTGAATGTATAGTTGAAAATTAGTACGTAGATAAAAGAGTTTTCAAATAATAATTGTCAAGCGGGGGCTTAGTCTCGGCTTGAGAGATTCTGATTAGTGTATTCATACTTGGAATTAGTCTTGGATTAATGATCAAAATATGAGTTCTTTCCGCATTTGGCTGTGTAGTTACGATTAGTTACAAATTAATCTGTTATTGGCCTCTGCGTATGCAATCCAAAGGTTCTAAAACTTAAGAAGAAGAAAAAATCTAACAAAAGACACCCCTTGTCCAAATCATTATTGTTTTGAAATATTTATAATTTAGAGCGTTATGATTTAATATAATTAAAAATAGAAAGATGCCTTGAGGTTGAAAAGAGCATGTCTTGCACTTTATAAAAATGGAATGGAACTATCTAAATTTTCTTTTCTGTTTAAATTACAAATTTCACGATGTTACATATCTTAATATTCACGAAAATAAAATAGTAAAAACTAAAAAAGGACCTGAACTCTCAGGTACGTCTAAACCTAAAATTTGTGAAAACCTCTTCTGAGAGTTAGCTCAAAGAGTCACTACTCGAGGCAAAGCTACCACATCTCAACGTGAACCGGAAGTTTTATCTAATCTATGCAATCACAAATTATTCAGTCCTTCAAATCATAACCACCAGCACATATGCTTATCAAGGTTACTTACTATGATTATTAGTTTGTCGCTTCTTTAATTTTCTTGCTAGTCTTTTTAGCAGCACCCCATGCATTATCCATGGTTTGCTTTGCCCCCTCTCTTTAGTTCGCCGTATCGATAGCTTTCATAGTCCCTTCTTTTGCCATTTCCGCCACCACACCCCTGGCGGCGTCCACTGCATCACCGCCTTCTTCTTTGCCATTTCTACCTTCCCTCGAATCCTCGTTCCAGTTCCTAGTTACACATTGAAAATTATGGGGAAAAAAAACATAAACAGATATAAATAGTACTTAATTCTTGAAAGCAAAGTGTAAGAGAAAGATTTAACTTATGATTGTTCGATACAGAGCTTAAGAAAGCTCTTAAGATTGGATTATTGGGTTTAGAAACAGGTAGACATTGCCATGGATTCGGTTTAGAATTTTGCTATCTGTACAGGTAGCACGTTCGAAGCACGTGTCGGTGAATTTGAAAAACGATTTTTCGTCAGATTAATGATTATATGTTAGTTTTTGCTACTGTTCGTTTATCATCTTTTGTGCCCCCACTATAAGCGGGAATCCTCGATGAGACGGGGACGTGACCTCCTTCATTGTCATCCCCAGACGGATTGTATGCAGATGCACATAGGATAATTCAAGATGTCTAATCAATAGCTTCATCGGATCCTAATGTTGTATTTTTGCATGATATTTTCGGTCTTTTAATTGGAGTAATCATGATTCATGTCACTTTATTCCTCGTCCGGGAAATACATCAACTTGCTTCCTTTGTTACTACTTTCCTTATTTCTCATAGCTTGATTGATTGTTTGCCGCCTCTCATTTCACTTGCATTTTTGGCGTCATTACTTAACGAAATTATCATTTTTTTGAAAAAAAAATAAAGTATTTGTTTATTATTATAACCTCTCTAATAAAATTCAACTTATTTCAAAGGACTTTCCACAATCCAATCTTCGATGATGTAGCGTGTTGAGTCGTGTAATAAAAGTATTTTCCATCCATTTACACGTAAGTTTCTTATACACAAAAGATAAAACAGTCACTTTCGCATGCGTAAGAACATGTCAATCAATACAAGTTTATCCATTGGAAGGGGAAAAAACTAAAACTCTCTTAAAATCAAATGCACGATATAAGAAAATCATTAGCCATAGTTAGTGCATCAATCAATCACTCAACTTGAATAGAGAAAGTCTATTCTTCTTGAAAAGTGACTTTTAGGTTCTGTTTGCCAATCCCACCAACAGGAAAAAAATATGCAGAATCGTCCACAATTAGAAAACTTAGTGGGGTAGATCACTACAAAAATGGCACCTAATGTGAACGAAGTCAAGGTGGATCATCTAGTTTTCAATACACACAAAAACAGAAAAGCCAGCCATTGAGCATTAAAAAAGCATATCCAAATCACCTTTCAGTTCTCACCACACTTGCTAGATTTTAACAGTGCCTTTGACAAGGACACAGTTCAACCTCAATTTGGTGGAAATTTTTTCAAGAAAAAGTTGAGCACTAAAAACTGTCTGGATTGTAAAGGGCCATTACCTTATTTGAATACATTAAGATTACGTTCTGTTTGATATCCAACATATCGAATGAGGGGAGAATGTAGGGATACAAAATAAGCTGAGGCCCCAAGATAGTCTTTCTTTCTGCTAGCCACTCGCAGGTGCCAATGCAAAAGAAAGAAAACAAGAATAGAAATGAAAGGTAGTAGGAGCAACACGTGTAGCTTACAGGGCAGAGAATATCGCGGTGTCTGCCTTCACCAGCTGGAAAAAGGCATAATGATGTAGGTGTACACCATGCCCTAATCTGTTTAAGGTTCTACAACTGCTACATCAGAATGAAAATTTCTACAAAAGAAAAACAGTTATATGAAAAATGCACGAGTCAAGTATCACTACTGTTGAGTAATTCTGTAAAAGGAGACATAACTTCATCAATCTGTATGTCAAAGAAAAGAGAGAGCAGAAAATTATGTACCGTTTAGGCCAAAATCTAAAGAAAGTAATTAATAACAGAATGTAATGCTTTCCATTACATTAGCCATCCGATTTGTACGTTGAGATATTCATAATGAAACTCGGCATCCAAAGCACTTATAAAAGAAAATTGAATCACTTGGATCATCAGTTCTCTGCCAGCCATCTTGGTATAAACTGAAGTTTTCTTGGTTTACAGTTATGTATTTCACTTTCCAGATGAAAATGAAACTAAATTCCTCGAGAAGGAAACAAATAAAACAAAATTTATTGTAATGTTTGTCCTATCTCAATCTCATCTAGCCATGAAACAACTTCATCAATGGATGGCCTTCTTCTAGGATCCTGGTTTATACATTTACAAGCTATACCGAGCACCTCCATAAGTTGTTTTTCACAATCTCTATCTATTGATGAATCGAATATATCCTCCTCCCTCTTCTCAGACTTCTTCTGAAACACCCATGCCACCAAATCCCTGCAATTCTTTCCCTTGCAAACTTCCACAGGTCGCCTTCCAGTAAGAAGCTCGAGAAGAACAACTCCAAAACTGTAAACATCGCCTCTGAATGTCGCTGTCAATGTCTGACTGTATTCAGGCGGAATATATCCCAAGGTGCCAACCAAATCTGTTGTTACATGAGTATCATAGGGACAAAGTAATCTTGAGAGCCCGAAATCAGCTAAATGAGCTTCAAATCTATCATCCAAAAGAATATTGCTGGTTTTGATGTCTCGATGGATTATATTTGGCTCCTTATGCAAATAAGCTAATCCACGGGCTGCCCCCCCAGCTATTTTCAACCTGGTATCCCACCTGAGGAATGAACTCCCATCAACTCTTTCATGTAACCAATAATCCAAGCTTCCATTTTCCATATAGGAATAAATTAACAACCTGTCATTTCCGTATCGACAGTATCCTTGAAGAGAAACAAGGTTCTTGTGCTGAGCTCTAGAAAGGGCTTCGACTTCAGCTTGAAATTCACGTTCCATCTGCCCACAATCCCCAGAAAGCCTCTTGATAGCAGCTTTCAAACCATTAGGTAGGTCCGCCTTATAAACCAGACCAAATCCTCCACAGCCAATAATGTTTGATTGGTTGAAATTGTTTGTTGACTTCAGTAAGTCCGCGATTGTAAGATCCTTGCAGTCTGCATTCTTAAAGAGCACCAGCTTAGAAGGTCCAAATGCATCAGATAATCTCGGTGGCCTGCTGATTTCATTATCCAAATCGTCAATTGGTACCCTAGCATCTCTTCTCGATGTCCTAAGCAGAAGAATGGCCAGGAGTAAAGCAATTCCAACGCCAATGCTGATTGTTATTCCAAGTATGCTGCTCCAACCAAATTTCTTACGTGCAGGTGGACTAGTTGTTCGGAACCCTATATTACTGGCAGTGCAAGGAGAAATTATTTTTCCACAAAGTCCAGGATTACCCTCAAAGCTTGAGCTGGGAAAGCTAAGGAATTGGCCCCCTGTTGGAATTGCTCCTTCGAGATGATTATTAGCAACACTGAACTTCGAGAGGAAAGTGAGCTGATTAAATGATGAAGGAATTGATCCATGAATATCATTGTATGACAAATCCAAAGTCTCCAGGTTTGTCATATTTGAAATGGAGTTGGGTATGGTTCCAGTTATATTATTCCTGCTCAAGTCCAAGACATGAAGCTGTCTCAAATGTCCAATTTCAGGCCAAATTGAGCCATTTAGTTTATTATTGCTCAGTAATATAGATGGAGGGAAACTTGAAGCTTGATTGTACTGCAAACCACTGGCACTCTGATTTCTCTTTACGAAAAGTGGGACGCCAGTGGAAGTATTAAGAGTGGATGAACAGCTATTGGCAGACATAAGGCTCTTAAGCTCAGTCAAACCTTTCGGGATTTCTCCTGTTAGTGAATTATTTGAAAAATCTAGGTAGAACAAATTATCCATCCGACCAATCTGGGAAGGGATACTGCCATCCAAATGATTCCAGGACAAGTCAAGGACTTGCAATTTTGTGCAACTCCACAACCAATCTGGTATTTGACCATTCAGGCCACAATTTCCAAGTGCAAAAAGCATTAAGCTCTCAAACCCACTCATGTTTTTGGGAATTTCTTCCCCATGGAAATTCTTGGTGAGAATAAGAATGCTAAGATTTCTGCAATGCTTCAAAACAGACAACCCTCCAGATAAGTTTACAAGGCTGTTGTTCGACAGTGAGAGAAATGTAAGAGATGTGAGATTTGCATAGCTTTCAGGGATCTGGCCAGTTAAATTGTTCTTGGCAAGACTCAAAATCTTTAATTCCTGGCAACCAGATAATGATTTGGGCAAGGGACTAGAAAAACGATTACTTGCAAGATCAAGATTATAGAGATTAGGCAATCCAGTGAAATCAAGATCTATTGCACCAGAAAGAGTATTGTTCCGCAAATCAAGCACTCTTAATTTAGTGCAGAGTGCTAGAGTTGAAGGCAGTGGTCCAGAGAATGAATTCGAATGAGCAACTAACTGCTCTAGTTGAGTTAAATTCCCAAAAACATTAGGAAAAGAACCAGAAAATCTGTTCCCGCATAGAAAGAAGGCTTTGAGGTTGGAAAGCTTACTGAGTTTATGGCTTAGCTGGCCAGAGAAATTATTGGTTGAGATTGAAAGCTGCTCCAGGGAGGATAACAAGTACAAGGAGTCCGGAAGTTGGCCCGAAAGAGAATTGAAATCCACATGGAACTGCTGGATCGATGTGCTGCTGCAAGTCTCCAAGCCTTCAAGTGCACCGTAAAAATGATTTGATGATAAATCCAGAACCAGAATGCTGCGGGAGAAACTGCAGATTTTGGAGCCAAATTCACCAGTAAACAAGTTCTTACTTATGTTGAACGCAATAAGACTCGGAAACACCCCAAGATCAGTAAAGTTTCCAGTGAAAGAATTGCTCGAGAGGTTGACTGATTGAATCCTTTTCAACCCCACAAGAGATCCCAGTACTGGTCCAGACAACATGTTGTGGCTTAAATCAAGAACTTCCAGCTGCTTCAAATTAGAGATATTCACAGGCAATCTACCTTCCAGAAAGTTGTGCGAAAGATCAAGCACTTTCAATCCATCCAATTTTCCCAAAAACTCTGAAATTTTTCCCCTCAGGCCTTCTCCAGACAAGTTCAATCCGGTTACTCTACTTGTGGCTGACTTATTGCCACCATCTTCGCAAACAACACCATTCCATCGACAGCAATTGGTTTCATTTGACCAAGTTGATTTGATGGAATCATTTAGCAGTTGGGCTGCAAATTCCCTCAATGCCGAAAAATCATTTGGATTACAGTTTTGGATCGGCGTTTCAAGAGCCAATGATAAACCGAAAAAACAAGCAAAGAATATCCAATTCAGGAAAGTCATTGGGGAAAATGTCCGCAGACCTTTATCAAAAAACCAAGGGGCCTGGCGATATAAATCAAGAAGAATTCCACAACCAAGAAACTTTTCTCCCTCACATCCCACAAAAGCTGCCTCAGAAATTAATAGATCCAAACCATACCACTTTAAGTGAAGCAAGAATCAGTGCCACTTGTAACAATTGAAATCCACAGTCTCCCACATGGATTGAATCAACGGACACAAACTGAAATTTCAATCTTTACGAGAGAGCAATGTTCTGGCTAATTCAATAAGAATAGATGAAAAAACCAGTATGAGAAATTTCGTCGCACATTTCAGAAATACAAAAGAAAGGCACAATTAACATGTAATTGAAGCAATTAGAGACGGAGAAAACCCTATCAGATTTACACTACCCACTATAAATCAAACCCCCAAATCCAAAAATCTTGAACTTAAGAACCTATGTCAGACTGAGATAAACAAGAAATCAGCACTGCCCATATGAAGAACCTTCAAACCCACATCCCAAAACACCTCAAAAATCAAAAAAGTACATAAAATAAAATTCCCAACCAATAACTTGTAATTCAAGGCCGTCTCTTACGGTTTCAGATCCCCAAGTTCACAATTACAAAACTAAATTGAAAAAAGAACCTTTCTTTATTCAAAACGCACAAACCAAAGACTGATTTTTCAACGCCTTATCACTTGCAAATGAAGCAAGCTATAGTTCACTACAGTAAACAGATTCCACAACACTAAAAAGTATGTTCTTTTACTACAAACGGGTCTTCACTGATTACAAAAGCAAGAAGAAAAACAGTGTTGATCAAGATATAGAAAAAAAGTACTTACTCTCTTGAAGAGACTTGAAATCAACGAAACAGTGATACTAATAGACCATCAAACTCCGCACGGCAAGACAAGGAAAAGGAAAGTTTCACTAGTACTCTTTAATATTTTACTATTTTGGTGGAATCTGGAAAATCCAAGTTTATTTTGGACAAAAAAAACTGGTGGGCTGATTTGAAATGATGACACAAAGAGCTGACTTTTTTTTTAATTTTGGGGTAGTTTTTCTGCATTAGTTACCCAGTTGATTTCACAGATCACGAGTCTGACCCCCCTGTCAATGCCCAAATTTGTCTCTATCTCTATCTCTCAATATAAAATTTATTTACACTGCCTGATGTGGTTGGGCCATCAATTTTGTTAAGTGTATACTTTCACGTATTGCTACTGCGCGTGAAGAGCACCTACAAAATTTTGCATTTTTTTTTCTTGGTAATGTAATAATAGAGTTCGTAATAATAATATTACTATGCAGCCCCTAGAAGCTTTTTTTTTTTTAACGAACAAAATTTATTTCGAAAAATTGTACATATCTATTCTACAGGCAGGGGCGGATCCAGCATTTTTGTTCAGCTAGGGCGGACCGTTGACTTATCCCTAATTTTTCTAAAAACCTAAATTCCCAAATCACATATTCACAATTCTCAATCACAATTCACAAATCAAAATTATAAGTCACAACTCATAAATCACAAATTCACAAAAACTAAAAACAAAAACAATCCTAAAATCACAGATTCACAGCCAAAGTCTCGACTCTCACATTCACAGATAAATCATAGCCAACTAACTGACTAAGAACTAGTAGTGACTAGTGAGTAGCAAATACCTTTTTCAGTTTTTCTCCAGGCCCAGGCGCCCAGCACTAGAGTCCGGCACAGCAGTCAGCAGCACTGCTCCTCCATTCCAACTCTAAGTCCAGGCTCCGCCACCGCCGCTCCAGTCCAGTGTCCTGGCTATCCACCTCCACAGACCACACCACAGTCCACCGTTCCCACTCCCCAGTCCCCACCCGAATCTCCTCCTCCACAGACCAACAGAGCTGCAGAAGTCACGAAGCTCTCCGACTCATTCTCCCAGTTCGCCGGAATCACCTGATTCGCGTTCGCCTCTCCCTCCTCCTCCAGGTGATTTTGTTTGGGGGTAATGGGTTTTGGGTTAATGGTAAAGGATGTGAATTTAATGGGCAAGGTGTTTGGGCTCATAATTGGGCCTTATTTTTTAAAATAAAGGCCCAAACAATTAAACAATGAGGAGGGAAAAATACCAAAAATGTCAGGTTACCGGCATTGCAGCAGCTCTTCTTCTTCCTCCTCACCTTCCCAGCAGTTGAATGGCGAGACAGGGATTCCGGCGAATCCAGCACGGGCGGCCGTGGGGGCTGGCCAGGTGCTGGATCCGCCCCTATCTACAGGCAGCCTCGATGCTTAATTTGATCAGTTCTTTTTATGAAAAAAATGCTATTCATCCCCAGTGGGGATGCATCCACAGTCTATGTGAACGTAAATGATAGGTGAAATTAAATGACTTATTTAATTTCACAAATAATTTAATGTCACATTAACGCCACATAGACTGTGGATGCATCTTCAGTGGGGATGAATACTTTTTATAATGTAGGCGAGAACAAGATTGCATATAGAGTAAAATTTGAAAAATCATCATTTATAACTTTTATTGAGGAAAAAAAAAATACAAAACGACATGTGAAAGTTCAAATTTCTTAATATTGACAAGCATTAGCTTTCCAATTTAACAGAGAAAAAATGAATTGAATACCAGAATAAAATTTATTGTTCCTTTTGAATTATATGAACTGTAAAGTTGAGTACAAACTTCCAGAGTCTTGAATTACATACTACACTGCATGCATAATATCTTAATTCAAATGGCTCTCTTTATATTGGACGGGGGCATATATTTTTTTTATAATCGTGGATGTTCGAGCCAGTTTGCGCGTATCTCGACTAATTCCACGAGGTCCCGAAGTTTACTACTAGGTACTCACCTCAGTGGCTCCGAGGGGACTCGAACTAATGACCATTGGGGAGCAAACCAAAAGACAGGGGCATGTTAGTTGTACAATAAAGATGTGAAAGATTTTGTTAAGATATCGAAAATTGTTTGTTATAATTTTTAGTGAGAAAAAATAATGAAAAGACAAATAAAATGTAAAATGTCTTCATGTTAGAAGATTGTATGTAACAAATTTACACATTTCCTTTTAACTTTTTCTTGAGATGTATTTGTATGTGAAAAAATACTTTGCATTTTTCTTGTCGACAAAGGAAAATTAGAGCAGCCAGCCAGCCATCTTCAGGTGTCACTTCTTTTTGCATTTTGATTTTCAAGCTATTCCAAGTCTTTCATTATTTGGCATTTGTGGTTCTAACTGACATTTCTGTCCAAATTTTTTGTCAGGATGATCATGTGTATTAAGCCCATGTTTGGCAATCTTGGAAAACTTGTCTTTTTTACATACTTATTTTCAATCGCACATTCACAGCAATCAGCCATGTTAAAAAATTTATAAAGAGTTATCAATACATCAGCAATTACATATTTTCCACATTATGTGGTGAAATGCTTTTGGAAGACTATACATGCTTATAAATTAAGGAAAACTAGAGCCCCGTTCAAGTTTTACTTATTTTGCATTTTTTTCTCCAACTTTTATTTTCTAGTCGTCCCAAATTTTTTTGGTTATTTGGCATTTGCGGTTCTAGTTAACTAAGTTTTCCGTCCCAAATTTTTTGTCAAAAAATGGTTACGTGCACCTATTAATATATTGATTATAAACTTAAGTGAGTTCATTTTTGTGTGTGCACGGGAAATGCACGTAAAAAGTTTGTTATTTTTTGTTGATAATAATGTAATATTTCTATGGATTTTTTTCTTTTGTATCTGTTCAATTTATTTCCTCGAAAAGTTCATGACATTGTACTTCTCAGTTACAAAAATTCTTATCTAGACTTTTTTTTTTTTGTCCAAGGTGCTCAAAATGATTGAGAGAGAGTAAATTTGATTGATTTGGACATTGAAAATTATGCTATATTGTAAATGAACTTCATGCATCACATAAATGATACTTGTATAATGGAAATACACAGCTAATTTTACAGGTGTTGAGATGACAACACTTGATTGGTCGTTTAACATTTTTTTTGTTCAAGATCCAATGAAATATTGCCATATAGCATTTGGTATGCTCATATGGGCATTTTCCTTGTACATGTAACATTGTTCCATGCATCAATGGGAAGAGTTTCGCAAGGGGGACAAGACAATCCATCATGTTGAGAAACTTATACAAAATTGTCAATTCCCACCTAAAGAATCAATGGAACAATGCATTAGCAGCTACTCGTTCCCAGTCTTAAGAGCTTTCAACAGAAGGTTCGTTTACTAGCCTATATGTTGAATTATCTTTTGAAAAGCTATACAAGATTATCAATAAAGAAAAATTGTAGACATTTTCAAGTTTTACTTCTTTTGCATTTTTGTTTCCAAGTTTTATTTTCTAGTTGTTCGAAGTATTTCATTATTCTGCATCTGTGGTTACAACGGTTTCCGTCCAAAATGTAATCTTAAATGGTCATGTGTGCCTCACTCAACAAGTAAGATTATCAATTATCAGGCATTATTTCAACTTCAAAGTGTCAGTTTATGCACGTGAATCGCACGCGTGAAGTTGCACTATTTTCTTTATAAAAATGCAATTTTCCTTTTGATTCAATATTTCTAGAAAATTTCATGACGTTGTACTTCTCAGTGACAATCTTAGGAGCTCAAAATGAAGCAAGAGATAGTAAGTTTGAGGATAGTGTTACAAATAGTGCGAGCACAGTTTTGTAAGGAGAACAAAGCAATCCATCATGTTGAGAAACTGACAGAGATCAGTTGCCAATTCCCATCTAAAGAATCAATTGAAGAATGCATTACAACTACGTCTTAAAAAGTCTTCAACTTGTATTTTTTATTTGTCGTTTTTTGGTTTCAATTTTTTTGTCTTAACTTTTATGTGTAGTGCACGCGAACAGCACACGCCTACAGTTTTGCTAATTTTTCTTGATAATAATGCATTTTTCCTATAAATTGTTTCCTTTTGAATTAATACAATTTTTTTTTTCCTGGAAAATGTTGGGCATTAGGAAACTTGCATTTCA